TGGGGAGCACAGAAGCGGGGTGGGTGTTGGAGCATGAGGTTTGCTGCTGAGCTCGCTTGTGGGCCCTGGGTTGACAGGGGTCTAGCTGTCTCTAGAGGTGAGCTGCTCCCCTTCCTGGTAGAGACAAGAGAATGGACAGCTTTACAAATTGCTCTGCTTTTAGACAAAAAGTGGAAGGCTAGAATTTTTCCTTTCTTCCTTTTCCCCGCCTTGAGTCACCAGGAGTGAACCTTGGGTCTTTGTGCTGCATCCTTGCCTCCTCCAACCTTTTTTTTTTTTTTTTTTTTAATTTTAAGACAGAGTGTCATTAAATTGTCCAAACTGGGCTGGAATTTGTATCCTTCCTGCCTCAGCTTTCCAAGGATGCTGGGACTGTACACATGCATCACTGCGCCTGGCTGAAAGCTTTTCTTAATCTGCTCTTCTCAGTTGCCTTCAATTCAAAATAATCCTTATGCCAAGTGTCCTATCAGGAGCGTCATACTCTGATTCCTTCTATCAAACATCAAGACTCATCAGATCAGGAACGGGGGCAGTGAGCACCTTTCCTTTGAATTTTCCCAATCTTCCCCCTTGTGGAAGACCTATGTCAACACTGGGTTCTTTTATTTTGGGTTTTTTTCAGACAGAGTCTCACTATGTAGTCCAGGCTGGCCTTGAGCTCACTTTTTAGCCCAGGCTGATCTCAAACCTGCAACGATCCTCCTGCCTCAGCCTCTGGAGTGCTGGGATTACAGGCATGTGCCACAACACCTGCCTCTGGGTCCTTTTGGGGTCCTCTCCCATGGCCTCAGGGGACAGGAAGTGTTTAAGAATCCAAGACATCTCTTCACTAATATCTTCATTCTAATCATGTAGAATAAATAAATAGCTTGAGAGAGAGAGAGAGAGCAATGGCTTTAGGATAGGATTCTTTTTTCTCCTTAATTTAACAAGTAATACATTTACAGCCCAGTGCCTTTCTTTTGAAAAGGAATATTTTTCTCATTTACTTCTTCTGTTTAGGAGCCTCAGCTGTGCCTAACACAGCAAAAATCCCATACTGGCTCTCTGACTGACCCACACACAGAAGAAAAGCCATAGAATAACACTTACTGTTAAGCATTTTTACACTCCACCCCTGCTCTGCATTCCCAATCTCTTCGCCCCCATTTTTCAGGAGGTAGGATATTGAGAAGCTGCCCAGGCTGGCCTTGGGGTCCTCTTGCTCGTCATATGAGTAGCTGAGACTCCAGGCACCTGCCACCACACCCTGCTCATTTTAGCATCTTTAATGTGCAATTCACTGAGTGCATTCACATTGTGTAGCCACCACCAGTGTCCATCCCCAGAACTTTTCCATCTTCCCAAACTACAACTCTGCATCCAAGAAACAGTGACTTTCTCTTTTTCCTTCTCCTGGGCCCTGGCAACCGCCATTCACATCAGTCTCTGAATTTGACTATGCAGTGTTGATGCTTTTGTGTCTGGTATAGGGGAGAGCAAACTTTCTCTCTACCCTCTGAAGGGTCTATAATTGAGTCTAAAAATAAACAGAAGGAGGATTAACAAGAGAAAAAATTCTTTTAGGCACATGCAAATCCACAAGAGTCCTGCAAAACACAGGGCTTGAAACAGGGCCAGACGATTGAAGTTTTTATAGCATCCTCAGCTACCAAAAGGAATAGGGGCTTAGGGCTTCTGTCAGGAGTGGAGGGATACCAGTAACGGCTTAGGGAGAGATTGCTGGACAATAAATCTCTTGTTATGCAGATAAATCTCTCAGGGGAGAAATGCTGTCCGTGAGAAGGTGACCAAGGCTGTTGGGTATGCAGTGCCTTTAAACTCTTCTGGGATCCAGTTCATCTTCCCTGGCTGATGAGGTTGACCAGTACAACTGAGTATACTTTGTAGTACTGAGAACTGGATCCAAGGAGCTACATCCTCCTCTGCACTTTTTATTTATTTTGAAACAGTGTCTTGCTAAGTTGCCCGGAGTGGGTTCACACTCGTGCTCCTCCTGTCTCAGTCTCCCAGAGTGCTAGGATTACAGGTTTGTGACATCACACCCAAATAAGCCTCCTTTTGGAGGATTTATCTTAAAACAGATAAGGGAACTTCGGAGAGCCCTTCTTTGTGCTTGGAAATAAGCAGGGATGGGAGACAGAAGGGTAGGAGAAGATCAAAGAGATTTTGATTCTGTATCTGTTTCTGAGTCCTCCAGCTTCCTTTAACTCAGAGTAATCAGCATGGGAAAGCACCACACTTTGGGGTATCATGTTCTGAGCCCCCACATTGCCTTATTTTACTCAGCAAAATGTCTTCAAGGGGCATCCATGTATCAAAGTTTCTTTGCTTGCTAAGGCTGAATGATAAATACTGCGTTGCAGGCGCACCACAGTTTGCTCATGTATCAACCCTTGATGGACAGTGAGATTATCTCCACTTTCTGACTACTGTGCACCATGCTGCTGTGAATATCACTGTACAAACGGCCCAGCGCCTACATTTTCAGATGCTCCTCTGCCAGTTCTAACACAGCAGGGCTGAGACCTTCTGGTCTGGAAGTTAATGCCCCTGTCCCTGTTCTCAAGGCCAGCAGTGTCCCTAATTGTCATTCAAGACCACTTTCCTGGAGGTGGGCTTCTGCTGGTGTCTGTCAGCCTTTCTCTCCAGCTGTTCAGCACCACTGAGCTTCATCCAGCAAGTTCCTGGAGATTAACTGCTTAACAAGAGTGGTGGACAGGCCTTTGTCATCCACAGGAGTTCCTGTGGCACCCTTTTCCCAGGGCAAGGAGTATCTCTTAACCTTAACATTTGTATGACCAAGGCGGGCCACATTAGGTGGCAATGAAAATCTGCTCCAAGTTGACTTCCTGCCTCAGCCACATCCTGGAAGCTGCAAGCTGCTTTGCTAGATGAGAGCAGATCAGCTTTGCTCTCACAGGTTTCCCAAACAGCCACAGGCCTGTGAGTGACAGGATCTAGGCTGGTGTCTGCCCCGAACCCTGTACAGAGTGGCATGGCAGAAGGACCACCTGCCACATGGGCTTAGGAGAGGTCTTTTCACTCCATGATAAGGGGGGAGGCATGTTCCTCTGGGTAGTGAGGATCGCAGGGATGATGACTACACAGCTGGCATCTCCGTGGCTCGCAGCCCAGGTTGCCAGGGTCAAAGCCCTGGGAGGACAGTTGGCTTCCTCGCAGACTCTGGCAGGAGTGGCTGTGCTCTGTGAGCCTCTGTGTGCTCACATACACCACTGAGCCTCCTAAAATCAGGGAGAAGAGGCCAAGGCTCAGGGTTATGCCAGTGGGGGCCTAAGCCAGGGGACTGTGAGCTTTTACTGCTAATGGAATCCTGTTTGAGCCCCCAGGGTGAAGAGGCTTTAGAAAATTCTGGCTCCTGGAAAAACTTCAAGTTGCCAGTGAAAATTAGTGAGATGGATTTTTAGAGAAATTTCACATGCATCCACTTCCCATCGCTACAGCCATTTAACTTTGGGTCTTTACCCTACCTCCAACCCTGATGCTGTGGAATGAAGGATCGGGGCTCTGGAAGCAGGGAGGACCCCAATGGAGACTGGGAGCCCTGGAACAAAGAGTTAGAATTGTCAAGAATTTCCAGCCTTCTTGTTTTCATAAAGCAGTGCTCATCCTGGGGCCAGAGACTGACAGACAGTCAAACAGTCGTAGATTAGATTGTCCTGTTGTTCAAAACTCTAGGGCATCAACCTTCCCTAGAGTTCTTCCAAATAAAGTTCTTTTCTAATGATGGCTTCTCACCAGGTACCAGGAGTGGCTGCTTTCCCAGCAGAGCAGGGGCCCATACTCTGAAGGGGAGGCTGGAATGGGGCCCAGGCAACCCCAGGCCGGGACTGGGAATTAGAGACTCGCAGGGTCACTTCATCTTTCCCAAGCAGGGCTCTACGAGAGCTTGATGCAAGTTGTGCTCTTGCCCCAAGGGAGATGGAAAGATGTAAGTCCCTAGCAGCTGTCAGGGGACAGTCAGGCATGTGAGGAAGCAGTGCCCCAAATAAAGTAGGAGCAGAGGATGCATAGTTCTGTGGGTTAGAAAAAGTTATCCTCAAACTGTGGGAAGTGGTTCACTAAGGTTGTCTTATTAATGCTATACATCTTCAGTATAAAGAGCAAAAACTAACAAAAGGTGTCATTAGGGTTAGATGTGTGCTAAACACTTTAGATGCATTCACTGTTTAGTTCATATGAAGTACGAAGCATAAGGGCTATTATTGTCTTCACTTACAGAGAGAGGAGCAAACTAACCCGTAGAGAAGTTAAATGCCACTCCTAATTTAATTGACTTTGTCCCATGCCCTGTGTCAAGTTTTGTCCAAGTGATGGAGAGGCTGGGCCTTGATGCTGCAGGTGTTCACCTCTCCACGATGGCATCTGCTATGACATCACAGCGTCAACGCTGACTTTCTAGCTAGTGCCGGCCTGCTGCTCCTACCCTGTCCTGAGCCTCAAAGCCATCACTTTCTCTGCTTCCCCAAAGCCACCGCCAGGACCTGACTCACTTGACAGTTCCCCTGTAGCACAAGATGGTCCCCCCACCTCAGCTAGTTACTTCAGTTTGTTAGTTTGCCAGGTAAAAGTTGCAATTACAGTTCCTGCCACTTTTATTTCTTAGAAACGGCTGGTCACAGTGATGCCTAGGTTCCATGCTGTATGTTGTATTCCCAACTGACGAGCTATTTTGCTTTTTTACTATCTGCTTGCTTAACCCAGATAAGCCCTAGACCCCAGAGATCAGGGTCTGATATTTTGGGAACAATCTCAATCAGTGCTTGTCGATGTGAAATAAATCTGCCTCTAAAGGCTCGGTGTCATTTTAGTGTTTCTGTTTGCCCTTGCACCTCCATTTGGCAGTGGGAGGGCTGAACCTTCTGCCTCCAATATCGTGCCTCCTCCGGGCCTTTCTCAGGGACCTGCTGGCCTCCTGCCTCCCCTCTGTTCTCTCCTCTCTTCCAGAGTCTTGGTCATCCTAGAGATAAGGCAGTCTAGTTCTGGTTTTTTTGTGTGTCTTGTGACTCCATATTTATGGTGCAAACTCCATGCTTTCAGGGGTTTCAGGCTTAACTGAACCGAAGTTCAAAAGGCCTCATTCCTAAGCCACTCCTAAGCTGTCCTTCTGCGCCTCTGCTTCATCACTCATCCCTCGAGGCAGTAAATGCTGCAAAACCGTGAGGGAAGCTGAATAAAGAAGGGCAGGAGACCTCAGACATAAACACAGGGGGAAAAAAGGATACAATTTCTTGAAATATTTTCTCTCTCTTTTTTTTTTTTTGATGGGTACCAGGAGCCAAACGCAGGACTTCGAACTTTCCAAGCAGGTGCTGTACCATTGAGCTATATCCCTGGCTCTCAAAATATTTTCTTATTGCAATTTCATTTAATTCTCAATGATCGCCCCATGATATAGGTGCTATAAATAAAGAGATGACACTAAGCTCCTTTCTGATGATACTTTACCAGGGCTTTTTTTTTTTTTCTTTTTTCTTTTTTAATTTTTTGGTATTGAGGATTGAATTCAAGTTCTAGCAAAAAATTACAATCAGGGCTAAAGACATGCACTCTTATTTCACTTAAAGGACAACACAAAATCACGGAGATGAAATCTTGTCGAATGGAGACAAGTCTTAATCAAAGGCACACTTGAAATTTACAAGTAAGCCTATTATTTGGAAATGAATAAAGCAAAAGATTTGAGAACTAGCCTCTTAATTAACTTAAACTCCCTCTTGGAACCTCTTCTAATAATTAGCTTATCAAAAAAATCCTTTTGCTTACCTACAGCGTGAATGTCAAGTTTGCTTAAGCATTCAATAATATTGATTGAGGCCCTTCTGTAGCCCCTGTCTAAAGAGTAATTAGGTTTCAAACTTTCCAATTGGTAGCACTCACGTTTGAGCTGTGCTCTTCCTACAATTTGAGAATGCTTTTCTAAACTAGCCAGAGAGGAGTTTTATTCAGTGGACGCTTGCTGGGTGTTGGCTGGGTCACAGCACTGATGGGAGGCTCTGGCCTGGAGAGGAGATCTAGGAGCCTCTTGGGAGAGAGAAAAGAGGGGGGAAGCCAGGAAAGAGGTGCTCACTGAGAAAAAGTCTAAAGGAGAAGGTATTAAGTATTTGAGGTGTGAATGAAAGCTGTGTTGGGGACGAAAACCAAAACTTTTGTCTCCCTTCTTAGATAGTGACTGCAAATGAACTGATAGGTTAACAGGAGAAAAAGTGCTTGGTTGCCACAGATAGACATGAATGCCCAGAAATGGCTGAAAAGTACGTGTGCGCCAGACACAGAGACTACTACATGATTTTACCAAGGACGGTGTATTCGTGGAGAAGGAAAAATGTGAGCTTCTGGGGGCCCTGCCTTACAAGAAGTTAGATGTGTGGGTGAGGAAACTGCTCAGAGGTTTATTGATTTAAATTTTGTGCCCCTGGAATAGAACGCAGGTCTCTCCCATGTTAGGCAAATGCTCTGCCACCAGGCTACACCGTCGGTCTGGAAGGGTTGCGGGACTTAGATGTGTGCAGGCCCACTTTGGTGTTGGCTTTTTGTTGGGAGCCACAGCCCCGAGCCCGGTCGCCTCACTTGGCGGACGTGCGGCCTGTGGTAAAGAGCAAAGCCTGAGGTAGATTACCCCTCCCATCGAATATGTTAGTTTCCTGCTTACCGCGTAAACAACCCGCTCAACAATATAGTCTGCCTGGCAACTGATGATGTTAGCCAATCAGCTTGCCTTGCTTACTTTAACATGATTGGACACTGTACCCGTATATATACCGGTGCCATCCCTGGGCGGAAGAAGAAGCCAGATAGAAGCCCGGAAGTAGAAGCCCAAAAGGAGCCGCGGGGAGCAGACCAAAGGAGGCTTCAGCTGGGAGAACCCAGGGCAGGCTGTACGGAGAAGGAAAATAAAAAGAAAAGGTTGTCCACTACCAGACTTTGTCGTGTGTCCTTCCTGCCGGCCGGGAGCGGACATCGACATTTGGAGGCCCGCCCGGGGACTGATCACCCCCGCGACGTGGAAGTGGACAACGCTCCAGTACAGAGCTGCGAGACAGGTGAGTTGGGGATAAGCCTGGGCTCTGGGTGGCGCGCACCTACAGGGCTTTTAGACTCCCCTCAGGCTCACGCGTAAGTGGCGGATTCCTTGGGCCTCACGCGGTGAGTAACATATTAAAAGATGGGAAACATGTTAGGTAGCAACACTAAGAGCGAGGGTGGTTGTGGAGAAAGCTCTCAAGAGCTTACAAAAGTACGCAGGGTATCTGAGCAGGCCCAGTCAGGGAGCTCCCGAGAGGGGTCCGTCAAGGGGAACAAGGATGCTAAGGAGGAGGACGGGGCTCTAGCCTCGGAGTCGTCTGACTCCGAGGACGAGGGAAAGTTGAATGGCAAGGAGGCCAAAGAGACCAGCTGTCAGGAGCCTAAGTCGCTCAATAAGGAGTCGCAGGGTTCTTTTCCAGCGTTGCCCCGCGAATTGCGCTCTGCTCAACCTGGTCTGCGGAGGAGTAGAGAGCTCCTGAGCGCTCCCCGGCGCGAGAGGGAGGCGAAGCCTTCCGCCCCACCTTGGGGGCCGTTTCCGGAGGCGATCCCTCGCCGCGGGGCGGCCGCCCGGGAGCTCCCTTCCTCTTCGCCAGAACAGGAAGTGATGCACGGGCCCCCATTTTCCGCCCAATCACGGCCGCTGTCTTATGCTCCGCCGCCGGCAGGTCGGTATTTTTACAGGCGGCTTTGGCAGGGGGGACGCTTGTCTCATGAGGTACATCCACCTGGGATAGATAGTGGCCCCTACGAGATATTTCCTGTACAAGTAGCTATGGGCCAGGGACGCAATGTATGGGAGCCTTTTGAGATAAAGCAGATTAGAGAACTTAAAAATGCAGTTACAACCTTTGGGCCGACTGCGCCTTACACCATTGCCATGCTGGAGAATCTGTCTTCTGGGCCCCTCACCCCCGCGGACTGGATTCAGCTGGCAAAGGCCTGTCTGCCCTCGGGCAGTTACCTGGATTGGCGAGCCTGGTATGCAGAGTTCTCTGCCGAGCAGGCTGAGAAAAACGCCAATCGAGGAAACCGGGGGTGGAACAAGGAAATGCTTATGGGAGAAGGTCGGCACGCTGATGACCAGACCCAGTTCCCCGGCGCTGTCTATGAGCAAATCAATGCCATAGGACTCCGCGCCTGGAAGCAAGTAAGTGGTGCTGGAACAGCCTCCTTGTGTCTTTCAAAAATAATTCAGGGTACCACAGAGCCATTTGTTGACTTTGTGGCCCGAATGCAAGATGCTGCCGATAAGATATTTTCTGATCCGGGAGTGGCTCAACCGCTGGTAAGACAGCTGATTTTTGAGCAATGTACAAAGGAGTGCAAGGCAGCGATAGCTCCTCATAAGAACAAGGACCTCAATGCCTGGATTAGGATATGCAGAGAGATAGGGGGGCCGCTCTCCAACTCGGGAGTGGCTGCTCTCCTGGCCGCGGCTGTACAGCAGAGGGGACCTCGCGGGTTAGAAGGGGAATGTAAGGCTAAAGGGTGTTTTGCCTGCGGGGAGCCAGGACACATTAAACGTCACTGCCCAAACAATGCAGATGCTAGGCCTTGCCCTAGGAATGAAGAACCATATGTTTGTGGGCGATGCAAGAAGGGATCACACAAAGCTGAGGAGTGTAGGTCGGTCTTTGATGCTCAGGGCAACCGTATTTGTGGACAAGATGCTAGAGAGCCAAAAAACGGCCAGAGGGGGCCCCCTTCACAGACGGGCCCCCGCCCCAGAGACAGGACAGCTCAGGGTGGCAGCCTTCAACAAGGGCCACCCCTGGGTCAGCAGGTGTGGACCTCAGTGTCGTCTCCAGACTTATATGGGTGTTCATCTTGTCATTTGTCACTCAGCACCCTATAATTTTTCCAAAGGTTACTGCCTCTGAGCCATTAGTCCCAGCAACTACAATATACACAGATGGCTCCAAGACGGGGATAGGCGCCTATGTGATCCTAGGCAAGCCCCCGGTTACCATACAATTTGAACCAGATCAGCCTCAGGTGGTGGAACTGCAGATCGTTAAAATGATTCTTGAACGGTTCTCAGAGGCCATTAACATTGTCTCCGATTCTAGGTATGTGGTCAATGCTATGCAAGTGCTTGAGACTGCCGGTTTAATTAGATCCACTTCCACAGTGGCTGGACTGTTCCTGTCTATCCAGACATTGCTTCAGAACAGACACCATAAGGTCTTCACCACCCACATAAGAGCACATACATCCCTGCCAGGGCCTATGGCACAGGGGAATGCGGCTGCTGACACTGCCACTCGCCCGTTATGGATTTTTACCTTACTAACACCAATCGAGCGAGCCCGTGCCTTCCATGATAAGTTTCATGTCAATGCCAGGACACTAGCAAACCATTTCCATGTTTCTAGAGCAGATGCACGAGATATCGTGCGACTATGTGACTCCTGTGCCACATATAAACCTGCCATACCGATGGGAGTAAACCCTCGAGGTTTGATCCCTGGTGATGTTTGGCAGATGGACATCACACATATACAGGAGTTTGGGACTCTTAAATATGTTCATGTTTCCACAGACACCTGTTCTCGCGTCATATTTGCAACAGCAGAAACAGGTGAAAAAGTGTCTAATGTGATCAATCATTGCCTGGCGGCTTGGGCCGCATGGGGCAAACCAAAAATATTAAAAACTGATAATGGACCAGCCTATATAGGCAAAGCCTTCAATGAGTTCTGCAAAATGATGGAGGTTCAATTAAAACATGGTATCCCATACAATCCCCAAGGTCAAGGAATCATTGAGAGGGCTCATAGAAGCCTCAAAGAAATTTTACAAAAACAAAAAGGGGGAGTAGGCCAAGGCCTGGCCCCAAAGGCACGATTATCCATGGCACTATTCACACACAATTTTTTAAATTTAAATAATGATAATCGCTCCCCAGCTGTGGAGCACTGCAACCCTTCCCCCAACCATAAAGGGTGGGTGAAGTGGAAAGATGTCCTGACAGGACAATGGATGGGCCCGGATCCGGTAATCAGCTGGAACCGAGGCGCGGTTTGTGTTTTCCCACAGGAATCGGGACGAGAACCACTGTGGATACCGGAGAGACTGACACGGACAACAAAGCCCTCGACTGAAGATCAGACCTGCCCTACTGGAGATCCATCACAGACCAACCAACAAGATGAATAGAAATAGCGGTAGCCCGAAATGGACAAGAAGATCCTCAGGCATATGCATGGCTCGCTCGCCTAGCCTACGACCGAGTCTAGGGACGGTGAGCTTCCCACACTCCTCCTCTAAAAAATTATGATATAGCAGGGTAGATGAGTCAATGACGGGTAAGAGCGTGCCTCCCCAGCACGACTCGACCTAAGCCAGGCCCTACCCCATCCTGCACGTAAGCCGCTGGACTGTTAGATGCTGCCCAGGTCTAAATTTCTCTCCGAGGGGATTTCTTTACGGAGAGGAAATGAGTGCAAGCTTGTGTGCATCCAGGTTCCGTCCAGTTTGTGCCTGGCCCTAGAAAAAGGACGAGGGCCTCAGGGCCTTGGCAGACCATGGCATGGCCAACCAGGGTCTAAGCCAAGGACCTACGGTGGGCCTACGCATAGGGCATAAGCCTCTGCACCCAGTCCAGAAAGGGCTACGATGCGCACATTCATAAAAAATAAAAAAGGGGGAGATGTTGGGAGCCACAGCCCCGAGCCCGGTCGCCTCACTTGGCGGACGTGCGGCCTGTGGTAAAGAGCAAAGCCTGAGGTAGATTACCCCTCCCATCGAATATGTTAGTTTCCTGCTTACCGCGTAAACAACCCGCTCAACAATATAGTCTGCCTGGCAACTGATGATGTTAGCCAATCAGCTTGCCTTGCTTACTTTAACATGATTGGACACTGTACCCGTATATATACCGGTGCCATCCCTGGGCGGAAGAAGAAGCCAGATAGAAGCCCGGAAGTAGAAGCCCAAAAGGAGCCGCGGGGAGCAGACCAAAGGAGGCTTCAGCTGGGAGAACCCAGGGCAGGCTGTACGGAGAAGGAAAATAAAAAGAAAAGGTTGTCCACTACCAGACTTTGTCGTGTGTCCTTCCTGCCGGCCGGGAGCGGACATCGACAGCTTTTTGTCTTCTTTATAGTCATAAAAGTTTTCTGGGAGGAAGGATTTATGGTAGTTTTCATTTCTTAGAAGTTTCTGCCCTTAGTCAGATAAGAGAAGCTCTGCAAAGGCTTAACTTTCTGTATCTGTTAATTCTCAAAATAATCCATAAGCTAACATGCCAGATTTTGGAGCAGCAAGTCCTAATTCTCTCCAGAGACAATGGGTGCTAAAGCAAAGAGAACTTTTTTCTAGTACCTCTTAGGAGGAAAAACTCATTTATTTTGTTTTTCAGTATAAGAATTAAAACCAGGACTTGCATATTAAGGTATATACCCAACCCTTTTAAAAACTAAATTTATCTATTTATTTAGAGACAGCATCTTGTTAAGTGCATAAATTGCCCAGGTTGGGTTTGAACTTGCAGTCCCCTGCCTCAGGTTCTCAGAGTTCTGGGATTACAGGTGTGCACCATCATGTCTGGCTTTGCTTTTCCATGGGACGCTGTCCCCCATCTGCCTTGACCAAACCCTGATGTCCCAGCTTGAGTGGGCTTCTCAACACCCCTGTTGAGGTCCTTCTTCCCCTAGTTGAACGGGGCACAGCAGGAAGACTTGGAGGACAGCGGCAGAGATGGACCAACCGCGATGAGTCTGCAGCTGTGGGGTAATGTGGGGCAGCAGCCAGGGAGGAGAGGTGGAGAACACGGTTGGGCTCTCATTTCTCTTTTCTCCTCCCCCTTCTCCTCCTCTCCTCTCCCCTTTTCCCTCTCCTCTCTGAGATCAAATCCAGGGGCATTCCACCACTGAGCTACGTTTCTAGACCTTTTTATTTTCTTTTGAGATAAAGTCTTATTAAGTTCCCCAGACTGGCTTCAAATGTGCCATCATCTTGCCTCAGCCTCTTGAGTCACTGAGATTTTAGACATGAACTGTGGTTCCCACCTGAGGTTCTTGTTTGTAAAGTGAATCATGGTAAAGGGTATAGTTGAAGCTCACAGATTTTTACTAGAATTTCAAATAGGATTTATCAGAGAGCCCTCAGAGAACTCCTCCAGGGATAGGTTTTTATCCTATTTTCTGCTGGAAGACTCAGCAGCCTAAGAAGGAATCCTTGCACTGCAGGTATTGGTCTTAATGGTTCCAAGATACTAACACTTCCCATGAGTAATGGGACAACTGTAGCCACCCCCCTTTATCACATTATCTAAGTGACACTGGTGTTTCACTTAACTTCCTTTCCAAACACCAGAATCAATAATGGCCGTTATCCAGTGGTTGAGTAAGTTCCTAATTAAGCTTCAGGGTGACTGGAAAGGAAGGAGTCAATCCACACTGGATTGAAACCCTGGCCTCACCATTTTCTACGTGTCCCAGATCAAAGATGGCTACAAATTCTATGCTTTCTCTCTGTGAGACATGGAGTCTCTTTCTCCTCCCCTCTGACCTGGGTGGGACCTGTGACACCCTTTAGCCCAGAGGGTACAGCACCAGTGTTGCTGGGACTGAAGAAGACTTGGACTTACGCCCGGCTCCCTGAGGATGCTCGCTCCCAGGGAGGGCACTCTCTCTTGGAACACAGCTGTCACCTGGACAGGGTACATGGCCACATGACCGTCCTGGTTCAGTATTGGCTAACAGAATTGTGCCTGGACATCCAGCTCAGTAGAGCCCTTCATGACTACAGCCACAGCTGACACCTAACCATGACTGTGGGAGAGACTCTCATGCCAGTGGGACCAGGTCAGTAAGAAGAAAGTGCTGTTTTAAATCACTGGGTCCTGCGCAGTGCATGACCACTCTGAATTTTAGTTTTTCCTATAAAATTGGTGAGATAGCATAGCTCTGATATGCCTACAGTAGTGATGGATAGACACACCCAGCACAGTGTGCACCGCGGCAGGCCTGCCGTAGGGGCCAGTTTCCTTCCTGCTCCTGCTCTAAGGCTTGGGCAGCCCCGTGGGAGTGAGTCTTGGCTGCAGCTCTGAACTCCCTTGGCAAACACTCAGCTTCCTCAAAGGGAACAGCTACAATCAAATTTGAATATAGAGCTGGACAGCATTTGATTTTCTTTCTGGGGCAATCTGTGACCTTCTTAGGAAAAGTAGCACTGCTTTCTATAGGGGAAATTATGTTTTTTCTCTTCAATTAAAGAAGTGAAGGAATCAAGTCCTTTTTCTTTTATAACAAGGACTATGCTTGCTCCTACTGAAATGAAACCACTTTTCTGTGTTCACAGCCAGCAGGTTTCCTTCAACACCTAGCCCAGAGGACAGCCAACTGGATGGCAGGCGGGCTTCACTGAACAGATGAATAACAATGGCTGAAACTGCTTTTCTTTTCTTTTCTTCTTTTTTCTTTTCTGTTCTGTTCTTCTCTTTTCTTTCTTTCTTTCTTTCTTTCTTTCTTTCTTTCTTTCTTTCTTTCTTTCTTTCTTTCTTTCTTTCTTTCTTGAGGAGGGGGAGTCCTGAAACAATTGATAAACAAGAGACCAAAGTGGGGCTGGTGGTGCATGCCTGGAATCCCAGTCCTGGGCTGAGCAGGAAGACCCCAAGGCCAGTCTGGGGAATACTGAACTGCAGGTTTCTCGGGTCCTGACTAGAGGAGTGAGCAGTCAGGGCTAACCCTGCTGAGGACAGGACTGGGAACTCCTTGGATTGCCTATTTCATGTGTTGCTTTTTTTCTTTTTAGTAGTGGTACCAGAGATGGAACCTGGGGTGCTCTACCACTGAGCTACATCCCCAGTCTTTTTCTTTTTCTATTTTAAGACATGGTCTCACTAAAATCCCCAGACTGACCTGGAATTTGCTATCCTCCTGCCCCAGCCTCCTAACAGCTAAGACTGCAGGCTTGTGACCCATCCCTAGCTGGTTTACAGTTTTTAAAATTCAGAATTATTTTCATATATGGAGCAATTATGCAACCAACATGCAGTGATGAAACAGAATATTAACCATAGCCCAAAAGCCTCACACACCTATGCTATAATTCTATATTCTTATAATAAAATGTATTTTAATCAGTATGTGACAATTTCCCAGACAATCCTGCCTCTTGTTTTTCCATATCATTTATACTGGTGATCTTTGTTTCAGTGATTAGCTAGTATTCCATTGTCTGAATACAACACAGTTTACTAAATTTTACTGAAAGACAAGCAGGTTGCATCCAACCTTTTGGAGCTGATATATATATTCCCCTTAAGTTACTTTGTTGATCTCTATTTTTCCAGTGGCAGCTGGGCACTGCTCCCTGTAACCCCTTTAAAAATACCCTTCATTCTTAGTTCTGCAATGTGTTGGGTGTGGTGCCACCTGGAGTGGTGGCCTATTCTTGCCTCCTGTTAGGACTCAGTTGTTCCATGTTTGAATATGTAACCAGGAAGGAGAAATAATGTCCCTGACATTCCCCACTTCCTTTCTGAGCAAATCACTGTCCAGTAAATGAACTATTTTCACCCCCCCCACCCCCCCCACTCCCCCACCCCCCGCCTTCAGTCAGCTGGGCATTTGGCATTATCCTGGCTCAAATTGCAGATTTGGAAGCTAGACCCCAAGAACTCTTCCTAACAGGACTAGTTGGAGGGAATCTTGACATTTTGATTGAGCCAAGGCTTCTCTTTCTGGGTGCTTTTTCTCTTCCTTCAGGCTCCTCTCAGCCCTGCCTCCCCCAGGTCTAATCTCTGGTGTCTCCCTGCTTTGATCTCAGCTCTCAGAATCATGGGAACAGAGAGTCCAAGTCAGTGCCTGTTTCTTTCTCCCAGTGGCATTTGCCCTTTGAATTTCATACTCACCATAATTACCGAACAAAAAGCTTTGTCTCCTAAACCCTGGGATTCCTTGACAGCAGGAGCAGTTTTACATTTAGCAGTGGGGCGGCCTCTTCCCCTCCTCCTTCACTGGTGGAACCATGCCATCTTTTTCCAGCCCTCAGAGGCCAGACTAAAGATGCAGGTCTGGCCAACTCAGGACCTTGGGGAGGGGACGTGTCAGAGTGTCAGCTGCAGCCGACAGCAAATCCTACCAGCTTGTGCTGAGAGGTGCCAAGGCTGAGCTGCAGAAGCGTGTGTTGCACAGACAGATACCGGCAGGTAGCTGGTACCTGGGGCAGGCCTAATCCCACATAGGAGGGAGTACTTAGGTGTAGGTACCATGGGGTATCACTGAGCTTTCTCTTGCCCTTAGAGAAGGAATTGTCAGTAACCCTCTCAGATGGTTTCTATAAAAGTTAAAGCTGATCAAGAGCCCACAATAAGTACTCCATACATATCAGTACTAATTATTCTGAGGTGGCCTAGTGGCCCAAGGCTGTCACAGCTGCATTCGTCCTCCTCTGATTCCTTCTCTCCTGACTGAGTCAAAAAAGCCAGTCCGGGCTCTGTCTGCTTCAGCCTCCCTTGCCCTGGTCTGATGGAGTTCAGGGGCTGCCCCACC